TCATAAGAAGGTTAAATAATTTGCTTAATATTATATAGTATGTATATGTTGACCAAGAATTGAGTGTGGTTTGGTTTGAATCCAAAATCTGTCCTCTTGAACATTATGCTATGATTCTTCTCAGAGCAAATCTGTCTTCCCATTTAATTCTTGCAACAAACAAAGATTAAAGGCTAAGCGATCTGCCCAAGTCACACAAGAGATGGCCCCTTAGTTTATAATCTAAGATTTAATTGTAGACTTCTTGTCAGAGATGACTATACCTCTGACTTTCTTTCTACTTCCCAAACCACGGACGTGGAAAATACTCAATAAATGCTAACTCCCTAATCCAAGGACTAATTTATCTGACCACACCACTCTGCAAGACTCTGGCTATAGACAGCTTGAATGTTGTCCTTGAGTGAGCCTTAACATTTTTTGCATCTTTTACTTTGTGAACAAAAATGAAGGAGTTTGTGACCATGTTGGTAAATTACATAGAGTGAAAAAATACCACATATTACCTAGGAATAAATGAGTTTATTAAGCAGGAAGGCACATCACATAACCACTGATAGCTGCTGCTTCCTTACATTAGTGAGGGTTTGCCTTCACCAGAATCATGAAGGCATTGATAGTCCTTCATGTTCACCGTGACTGATAGGGTGAAAGCAAGCTGAGACTATTGCCTCAAGATTCTTACATGGTTTTTCTTTATGGTTTTCTTCACTTTATATCCAGGTTATCATCTCAGTTGGATGTATTATTGGTCTTCAATAACCTGTTTAGTCAGACGTCTGAAGTAACTTAATTTACAACAACAAAAAATCTTCTTCTGTCTCTTTCCCTGGATCAATAGGGTTTTCTCATTCTTATGACATAAACTTACCCACCACCACCAAATGCCATATAACATTTTGAACTATAGCATTTGCCTCTAAATAGTCTTTTAAAAATCAGATCAGAAGGCATTATGCATCTCACGTAGAGCTGAAAAATAACATTTACTGGCTTTACATAGGCTTGGCTGTTGTATTATAAATTCCTGCAATCTAGCAGGATGGTTGATAGTGGTATCAAGTCCCACCCATTCTTTATCATCTAGAGAACCCTTCATGTTTCTTGCTTATTTATAATGCTATTTTTAATCATTGTGTCACTCAAATGAGGCAAGTATTGATTGGGTGTCTAAAATACTTTATTATTCTGAAATACTTTTTCTATTTCAGAGCATCCACAAAAGTGACTAAATTTTCTCTTAAGGAGGAATAGAATGAAAATTCAATAGAAGTGTTGATTGACACGTGTGTGTTTCTCCACCTCTACAGGTTTACTTCAAAAATTGGGAATCGTGCCCTTTCATCCAACACAGTTTTCATATATAGAAGTAAAAGTATTTGCTCATCATTAAGAATCAATGCATCACTCTTTAAAAGGAAATGAGTGTTTACATTGACTTTAAAGAGCCAAGCTTTATTATTTTGCAATAATGACTCAATTTAAACTCCTTTGATTCAAGTATTGCAGACATAAGTTGATGAAGTGAAAGAACACTTGAATTGGAAGAAAAAATATCTGAGATGGAGACTCACCTCTTAGCATCAACCTGGTGTTCACTTGGGGTAAGTTACTCAGTGTCTTTAGCTTCTGCATCCTTATAAAATGAGATTTTTAAATTATAGAAATCTGTTTTGGCTGTAAGAGTCTATATCATTATTAATTACAAAGAAGTAGGCTGGGCATGGTGGCTCATGTCTATAATCCTAGCACTTTGAGAGGCTGAGAAGGGAGGATTGGTTAAGGCCAGGAGCTTGAGACCAGCCTGAGCAACATAGCAAGATCCCATCTCTGCAAAAAATAGAAAAAAGTTAGGCAGTATGGTGGTATATGCCTGTAATCTCAGCTACTTGGGAGGTTGAGAGGAGGAACATGTTAGTCTAGGAGTTTGAGGTTGCAGTGAGCTACGATGACACCACCGCATTCTACTTGGGCAACAGAGTGAGATGTTGTCTCAAAAAAAAAAAGTAATTTCTATTAAAAATCTTAGAATTGAGATTTCTATCTTTTAAACATTTGATTCTTTTATGACACCAGAAATTAAGTCATTTCATAACTGATATTCCACTATCAGAGTCCTTTGCTGGATTAAGAAGTACATCATAGTTTACTAAAGCTATAGCAAGTCCACTATGGTGACTCTTAACATTCTGCCTTAGACTAATAAATTATATCTTCCAATTAAACCTTAACAATGAATATACAATCAAGAATCATTAAACATTACTCAAGAAATATAAGTTTAGCTGTTTATTGAATAAAGTACGTCTGTGAAGTCAATTTGACCTAAATTTTAGAGTCAAGTATGAATCTATATCCATCAGTCATCTATCTACTTATCTATCATGATTGAGTGCATATTTATTCAAGTTTTGTTGTGTTGTTTTTCAGTGAAAATTATAGCAGATTTTGGCATTTGATTTACTCACAACCATAGGTAAACTTGACCCCGCTGTTACTTTCTTTCTAGGTGATGATTGAGGGACAACTGTAAATGGTCCTCTCTTGGAGGAAGGATTTTTAATCTACAACCTGGATAAAAAGACAGTACCAGCCAAATCAGCCAGGGAAGAGCCTTCCTGTCAAATGGAACAAAAAGTACAAGGAGCCTAAGTATTCCTTCAGGCAAAGACCAATTTCAGATGTTCGAGGAACAAAAATAATCTGTGTGGCTGACATGTATTGAGTGAGGGCAAAGGTGGGGTGAGATAAATTCAGTGAAGTAGGATTTGCATTCTACAGAAAATCACAGAATGTTCTAGAATGTTGGTATAGGGTAGACTAAGGAAGGATGTTATTCACATGAAATGGTGCAGCTGCTCTGTCCTAAAAAGATTAAGCGTAAATCCTGGGAACCAATTGCTCTATACAGGTTAATAAAAACTTCATGACACCTACATGCTATTTCCTGAAGTCTTGTTTGGGGGAAGCCGGACTTCAAAGGAGAAATCATAACTGACGTGTTTTCATCGTTAGCGGAAAGCCAGTTTCCTTTGTGAAAGTACCATAGAAGCTGCAAATTTTCTGCCCATCAAGTTTCTCAAACAGTATTTCTATTCAGGAGGAGGTAAACTGCCCAGTGTCTAAAGCTATCACCATTATGTCTACGTGCCCCTGGCAACTTTTTTTTCTTCAGCAATAGGTGTCACTAAAAGGTAGTTGGGGACCTACTTGCTTCAAAAGGTCCCTGGAATCATTCAGTCCATCAACCACAGTGGCACCCTCTTCCCTCCTTCTCTGCCCTGTTTCCCAGCACTGACTTGAGCATGCTTTCAAGAAAGGCAAATAGCAGCCGCTGTTTTGTTGTCGCCTTGCCTTAGACTCCTTGCCCAAGCCTAGAAGCAGCAGCGTCCCAAACCCTGCCATGGCCAATATGCAGGCACTTTTCACTTCTTTAATTAAAATTCGGATGATTCAACTGTGTGAAAACAGACGTGAAAGGGAGAGACAGTGCGGGAGAGTAGCGAAAGCATTGGATTGAGAGTCAAGAGAACAGAGTTTAGGTTTAGATGCTGCCACTTTCTGAGCCTCAATTCCCTGCTGTGTACCATGGGCACAAAAGCATTCCCCTGCTGCTCTTAACAAGGTGGTGGTGGGAATGGAGTAGCTGTTATCTGCAGAAAGTGCCCTGTGAACCTGGGCTGCTATATAAAAACGGAAAGGAGGAGAAATGGAATAGTTTCAAGGTGGCGAGTTTGTTTTCATTGACGGTCAGGTTTGGGAAGGGCACGGATGAAGCATATGGCAAGGGGTTGAGAGTGTGAAAAGTACACCCTTTGCCATGAAAGAGCTAGGAACACATGCTAAGGAGCGGGGATGGTGTATTCAGGGGCCACTGTACTGCACAGCTCTAGGCCCAAGCTCACATTGTGGTCTATAAAGCAAAAGGGTAGAGCAATAATGCAATTCCACTCAATTAAGGAATAAGCAGTAAGCATTGTAGGAGCTCAGTGGCTGGAGACACTGAAGAAAGATGAACAGAAGGGGTGAGACATGAGTCACTTGGTAGGAGAGGAAACATTCTGATGGGAACGAGAACGGGGACAAAAGATCTTTAGCCTAATTAAGGACGTGAGAATAATTGTTTGGGTATCCTTTCAGTAGGGGTAAGAGAAAGTGGCGTGACTTTCTTGTTCTTTTCTTAATCTTCTTTTAAAAATATGGGAATAGTTTAGGGACCTTAAAAAAAAAGACAATAATATGGCACCTGCCTTTTCTTTTTCAATTGAAACATAACTCTAAGGATCTGTTTTAAAAGCACTAAGGTAGGCCAAGAGGAGAGTGAAGTGTCTGACAGCTCAAACTTTTGGGTTCTCCTTGTCTTTTTGTAGGTTTAATTTTTATTGCCCCACTATCTGTTAACTTCTGTTCCTCATTCAATATAAAAGGATGATGACATAAATGTCTGTCAGAGGCTTCCTATATGTTCAAATGCAGAAAAGCCCCTGTGGTTGCTGTCCCACTAAGGGACTCAGAATCCCTCAGAACATCCATTCCAATAACACCGGCCACTCAGAATATATGTGTGTGTGTGTGTGTGTAAACATGTGTACGCATGTACATTCTGTGTCTAAAACACTACAGTCCATGAAAAATGCTTTACTCTTCGATAAAATAAAGACATTTAGGGCTTTCGTAGGCCCAACATTTCTTAGCATTACAAGACAGTAAAGTTGAATTAATAACTTAGTTAACATTTTAATTAAATTTGCCATTCTCAAAATTACATTTGCATCTAGGAATGGCCCTTTTATTTGAGTAAATAAATGAGTGGAAAAGCCCTAAGTATTTCTGCAAAACTAGGTCCATCAAGACAAATTTTTTACTGTGGTCAATTTTTTTGTCCCTCTTGTCATTTTAATAAAAAATGGCCTTTGATTTTTTTTAATGGATTAATGTTTTATTGCTGACATTTTATTTCAATATCTGATTTGAAAATAGGAGTGCCCCTGTGAATTTTATGGAGATATTCACTTTCTTTCATCGCAGCTGCTCTGCATTGGTGATTGGCTGGGATGTTTTTTCCTCTGATCATTACTGTATCACTTGTGAGAAGAGAAGGAGATAACGTGAACCAATATTCTGAGGATAAAGATTTACAAACGGAGTCATGTTGTTGTGTGTCCTTTCCCTTCCCCACTGGAGTTTTCTGCAAAAGCTGAAGCAGTGACTTTATTCAACACCTGCATCTTTAACAACCACAGCAGTATAATTACCTTTCTTGAATATTCTATAGAATTGTCAAACAGCAATTTTCTTTTAGAAGACAGGCTTTTAAATAATGTCGTTTACATACAGAGTTTAACATCTCTTAAGCTAAAAATCTAATTACAAGAATCTGAAATTTACTGCATGTTTATAATTTGATCCTTATAAAATTGCTAATCAGGGCACCTTTAACATGTATTATGAAGCAGAAAAAAATACATATAGTGAGATTAAATTAAATATTTTGGAATTGCTTGAATATATATTAATTTCTATTAATACTACTGTTATTAACACTATTTGGTATTTTATTGCATTTCTCTTGAATTCAACCTGTTTGTGGAGAGAGGTGGCACACAGTGACATGATTTCTCAAGATTGATGTCATCGTTTCTTCTTTGTTAATGAAAAGTACCAATATTTAAAAAGGACTGCCATCATACTTTATGTATAGGCAGTAAATGGCATAGTCAAGCAAGCTGAGACAATTCTTTCAATGGACACACTAGATGGTTATGCCAATACTAAATATTAAGATTAGAATTTCGATACCATACTACCATTTGATAAAGTGGCTCATGCCCAGATTGTATAAGCACTTATCATCTTTGTCATCCTGATTTTATAATTTTTGAAGTGCAAATGGGATTGTCAACCACTGGAAATGGTGGTGCTTCAATATTCTACTACAAGGTGAATGTTAAAGTGAAAAATTTAACATATCACCACATTATTTCATTCTGATACAAGCTCTAAATTAATGTTATGAAATGTTATGAGCACACCTATAAAACTACCGCTTACAAAAAATTAAAGAGTATCTTTTATAACCCTCAAATTGTCACTATGGCAATTCCTCTGTTGCCCCACATTACTCTCAGAATGTCTAGTCGGCTACATTTTCCTTCTGTGCTTCTGTTCAGGATTTCTGTTCTCTACACCAATTTGTGTCCAAGGATTCTGTAAATCTTTTGTATCTTTTTCTAAGCACGTTCTCTACGAAAAAGCCACCCAGCCTGAAGTCTAATGTACAGACTTCTCAAGTTCTTCCTCAAAAGCACATTCTAAAAAAAAAATCACAAATTAAAAAAAATAATAATTTTAATGGAGTCTTACATGGCATTGTTCTGAATTCCCATCAACTGTCTAGATAACTAGTATTTGTTCATACAGTTTCATTCTATGGAAATATAACTGCCATGTAAAATAATTTTTATACTGTTCGTATCTTGGTCATATACAATATGATTTTTGTGCTTCAAATATTAAATATGCCAATAGAAAAAAATCACAAAGTTTGAAACGCTAAAAATGTATTTGTTATGCTATGAAACTCAGCTTAAATCCTGACAGTTCTTGCTAGGAAAAAAACATTTGAAAAAGGAAATGATATTCAAAATATTCCACCTATTCATGATCAATAGCCATATTTTATTATGTAAAACATATTGCAATCCCTTTTTACCTCCTGTATTTCTAGGTCCTCCGTAAAATATACATATATAATGGATGTGTGTTGTATATGGGTTACATATATTTCACATGCAAATACCAGAAAACAGGAGTAGCATTTTCATGCAACTTGTACGTGGATATAATGGCTACTAAACTAAAAATCAATTCTTTCTTTCTCTCTCTCTCTCTCTCTCTCTCTCTCTCTCTCTCTCTCTTACTTTGCTTTCTTGAGCCACTGCTTTATGTTTTATTGGGTCTCTCCCATAGTATCTTAACTGGATTAAAGAATAAGGACAAGTTTTCTCCGTTACAAAATTCTCATTTAATCCTTATCCACACTTAATTTATCAAATTAAATCAGACAAGATTGATGCCAGGGCTTTTCAAGCTGGACATCATGTGTAAAATCAGCAGACAAGGGTTTGTAAAGGGTGCCCACCGTGACTTGTCACAGCCTCTTGCTTCAGCTGCCCTCGCCTCCATCCAGGCAGGGTCAGGTTGCTTCTTGGTGTTCCACTGTGGGCTCTGCGGGAGGGAACAGAGCAGCTACACAGCCCCCAGCAGAGTTACTTATTACACCCTCGCCTCCTTCACCTGCCCCAGCCATTCAAAATAACATCACACCATAAAATATTCATGAACCGCGCCATGCTGCAGCCAGGGCTCGCTACTGCAGGTGGCTGTTACATCAGTAATTGCCCGATACTTCCCTCCACAGCGTAAAATTGTTTTCATTATGTGTCATGAACACAGAGCCAAGCAAAGCCCTCTTGAGTGGTTTCCCAAGGGCTGGAGGGAGGTGGTACTTAACTTAAACAGGCGCTTTTTGGCTTAGATTTAAAAAAAGAGAGAGAGAGAGAGAGAAGCCAGTGAAAGCTCATCATTAACTCTCCTTCTAAGTGCAACAAAAAGCAGAAGCTCATGCAAAACTCCCATAAAGATTATCCTAAATGTCTCAGTTACTAGGAAGAGCTTTAGGGGCTTTAGCGGGTCTTACGATACTTCAAGCTGCAGAGAAGAGAATAACTTTCCACCTGACTGAAGTTCCCATGGAGTGCAGAGCTCAGGGATAAGAAGGTTTCAGCAATAAACTCCTGCATTGTGAGGCAATAATGCCCAGCCAGGTCCCCGCATTTTGATTCAAGGGTGTCTTTTTCTTTCCCCCCTGTGGAGGACTAATCACAGCTCCACTTTGTTTAATTGCAGCAAAGAGAGAAATGTGTTTAAGAAGTCATTCTGGTCCCCTTTAAATGAATGCTGGGGTTCTTCAAGGACAACAAACAGGATGCATAATAAATAAGATTTAATTTTCAGATCAAAATAGGCAAAGTTAAAGATTTTTAGTGACTGATCTGGGAGAGATGCTGCCATAAAAAGAGTAGAAACTGAAAGAAAAAAAAAAGGGCGGGGAGATCAACAAGTGGGATTAAAGTCTTGTTTTTTATATAGCACAAGCTGTTTCTGTACGGTGGGAGGATCCTTACAGGAGTAAAATCTTTATAGAATTGGGAGCCAGTGGTTTCTCTGAGTGTTTTGATTCTGATTTGGAAAGAATAAAAGAAGAAAGGAAGGAAAGAAGGAAGAGGAGAGAAGAAGGAAAGAAAAGAAGAAAGAAGAAAGACAGAAAGACAGAAAGACAGACAGAAAGAAAGAAGAAAGAAAGAAAAGAAAGAAGAAAGAAAGAAAAGGAAGGAAGGAAAGGCAAGGAAGGAAGAGAAGGAAGGAAGGAAGGAAGGAAGGCAGGAAGGAGAGGAAGGAAGGAAGGAAGGACAGAAGGAAGAAAGAAGGAAAGGAAAGGAAGAAAGGAAGAAAGGAAGAAGGCAGAAAGGAAAGAAAGGAAGAAGGAAGAAGAGAAAGAAGAAGAAAGAAAGAAAGAAAGAAAGAAAGAAAGAAAGAAAAAGAAAGAAAGAAAGAAAGAAAAAGGAGAATGTTCTCGTAAACTGTGCTATGTTAAATCTTGATAATTGACAGATTTTTGCCTCTTCTCACTTTCAAGCTCAGGCCCAGCAAATGCTGGGTGCAATAAGTGCCTCGAGATGGCCTCAGGGTCATGAACTGAGGAGGGGGCGCTGGGAGGAGTGTGAGGGGGTAATCTATCACGTGCTTTCTTTCTGAGTTTGACAAAACTAAACCCCAGACCAAATGATTGGGAAGCACCCTTTTTCATTCATTTAAAATCTATTAATTTCTTTTCACTATGGCCTTCAGAGCCTTTTCTTAAAGGAAAATTATTTTCCTATCTCCTGTAAGATACCTATTTGCTGATCTTTACCACTTTCCTTAGAAAATGTTTACCTTGGATGATATGACATGATCTTCCAATTATGCAGCTATCTTGAATGGTCTTAGCAAACTTGAAAATGTGTAAATGTGTAATACAAATCTCCCATCGCAAAACCATGACCTATACTTTTCTATAGCTTGTCTTCTTTTTTATTTTTCCTAAAAAGGCATTTTCATCAACTGATCTGGAGAGAGAAAGTATTAAATCTTTTTTAAAAAAATTTTATGGCATAATTCTGATAGTATTTTTTTTTTTTTACTAACATAGTATCCATTGATAAATCGACCATAGATAACTGTCAGTCTCATAAATTGGAGAAAGCAATGGGCATAAAACCACTCATGAGCATCTGCTGCATGGGGCTTTCCTCTGGGCTAAATGGAAGATGTAAGGTTATTTAGCATCCAGCAAAAACAATATAGAATGTGTGTGTATGTGTGTGTGCCCACCATATACATATGTATCATGAATGATGGATTTCCTTTGCATCTGGTAACTACAGACTTTTTTTTCCCCTCTGAATACAGCAAATGACTGTTTCAAAATGAAAACCACTATGTGTTTGAATGTTGTATTATGCCTAGTCCCTTTTTGAGTGAAAGGCGGCTTTAAAAAGTAAGGTATATCATTGCCAAAAAGGGGCTAAATAGTATTGTCAGCATTTTGAGAAGGAATAGGTCCTTTTTCGCCTTCCTTCTCAAACTCCTTTCTGGACAGCTGTTAGTGACTTAGCGAACTTTTCATATGGATATGTATGTTAATGGCAGGCAATGAACTGGAGTGGAGAAGCCCAAACACAGGCCCAACTCTTCACTGCACATCAAAAGCCTTTACAAAAGGAGCAGTAAAAGAGGCAGCGATGGCGGAGCCTTCACTTTTGTACCCTGAATTAGTTCTGCAAGCAATGAAACTGATCTTTTCTCCTTGCCAGAAAAGTCTGCTGATTTTTGTGAGTGCTCATTAGCACAAGAGGCATTTGTGAAGATAATTGACTGACGCTGATACTGCTGGCTGTCACAACAGTGCCAGCCAGCAGCGTATGTGCATTTTAATAGTTGTATTTTTTTTTCTTTCTTAGACTTCACGGTTTCTGAAAGATACTAGTCTTCCAAAGGTTTGCACTCTTCTCTGAAGCAGAAGGTTTTAAAATCTTTCCTTTGGAAGCTGACAGCCAATCTTACTTTCAAAAAAATGTCCTATTTCTACATAGTACCTGGTATGTACACGGCTGCATAATTTAAATGGTAGCATCTATTAAATTCGTGCCACTGGACAGAAATTATGCAGATATGGACCCCAATTATCTTGGTATCAGATGAATATTCAAGTAAGAGTATGTACCATTGGGTCCCTGGGATACAAACTATCATCCCAGAGAAATAATAAGTAATGCAATATTTCACTTTTATCATAAGCAACTATAATCATTTCATAAATTTTCAAACTTTCTTTAGAGTTTCCCTGTTTTTGCTGACATGTTGACAATAATTAGAAAATTAAGGAGAAAAGAAGAAGTGTTTTTGGAAATCCTAACATAGCAATGTTTTGACATGAGATTATCTTCTACATGACGCTACCACCCGGAATGAACTCTGAAGTATCAAAGCATAAATATCAGAGGACAATTGAGCCCATGTGCAGACAGCATCAAGGAATTCTGCATGGAACTTGATGTGAACATTCCTTTTCACTGAAGTTTTTGTTGCCAATTTATAGCACATCGTAGAAACCCGTGTTACTTGCTTGACATATGCCTTTTCTCTTTTCTAAAGGAACTTCTAAAACATTTACTTTCTTTAATTATACATTTATCAGTTCTTTGTGTAGAAGAGCATATTTGAGAATTTGTCATTGCAGCAAAATACAGACTTCTCCATATGTGTCTTGTCCCAAATGAATGGTATACCATAGCAATATGCTAAATCTTTTGTAATGAATACATTTATTAAGACATTTAAGGACTCTGTACATTGAATATTCTCAGAATGCTATTTTTCTAAAGCACTCCAGAAACCTGCCTCGTTATAAGATGTGACAGAGAGAGTATTTTGTTTGAGAGAGAAATAAGTTATTTTCTCAAGTTAAGGATGACAGAGTAAGTCGAGAGAGGGTGAGAGTCACTTGTGTGCCATCACCACTTTACAATGAAAATGAGTTGTCTCCTTTCCCCTCTGCTATGTCTGCTCCTGGCAGCTCAGCTCACTGATAAACTAGGCTGCTCTGACAGGGCTCCGGGGAGAGGCTAAACAGGTTGGTTGTTTCACTGAACATGCTTTTGAATCTGCCGTTTGATGTGCTTTTTAGAAAAATTAGGCTCCTGATTTCTCAAAATGTGGCTATTGTGTCAACATTGTCTAAAAACCTGGCCCTCGGGTCCTTGATGTTTCAACTCAGTGGGGTCGTTTATGGTCACAACACAGACAAATACAAGTTTAAAGTATTTGAGAGACAGAATTGAAGTTCTGTTGTCATTCTTTTTCACCTCTTGGCTTTCCTTGCACAACGTTCTGGTGAGAGGGGAGCCGTCCAGCCATGCTTCACACGACCACGAGGGGTGAGATGTTCCAGGGGCTGTGTTTGGAGGCTGCTCCCCTCCCCTTCTGGCTAACGGTGGAGAAGAGGATGTTAGAATGACATGTCAACATTTTATTTATTTATTTATTTTGAGACAGAGTCTCGCTTTGTTGTCCAGGCTAGAGTGAGTGCTGTGGCGTCAGCCTAGCTCACAGCAACCTCAAACTCCTGGGCTCAAGCGATCCTCCTGCCTCAGCCTCCCGAGTAGCTGGGACTACAGGCATCCGCCACCATGCCCGGCTCATTTTTTCTATATATTTTTAGTTGGCCAATTAATTTCTTTCTATTTTTAGTATAGACGGGATCTTGCTCTTGCTCAGGCTGGTTTTGAACTACTGACCTTGAGCAATCCACCCACCCCAGCCTTGGCCTCCCAGAGTGCTAGGATTACAGGTGTGAGCCACCGAGCCCGGCCTTCAACATTTTCTTTAAACAACTATCATATAAAGTCACATTTGAAAAAAAAGTGGCTCAGAGAATAGTAATCCACATGGGATGAAGAGGATCATGTGTGAAAAGCACTGAGTCTGAAAACAGACAGGAAATGGGAAAAATAGGAAAACAGGAAATAGGGGAGATTGCCCACATTGTCATTATTGTTATTGTTATAATCCTCCCTCCTGCAGAGGCACCTGAACTCATGCGGGGAACTATGATGGATCTCTGGCTTTAATGAAGGAAGATGGCGGTCAATTCTCTCTGGAATGTCAAATGTTGGAACAGAGGTAACGAAATTCCAATAATTTAGAAACATTTCAAGTCATTCATCAAATGTTTACTGTGATGATCCAGGCACTATTCAAGGCACTAGGATGACACAAGTCCCTTTCCTCATGGGGGTTCCATTCAAAGGGGACATGGAAGTAGAAACAGACATTAATAAGTATATGTCGGGTAGCAATAAATGGTATTGAGATAAACAAAACAGGGTCAGTTGATAGAGTTGGGGTTGCTATTTTACAGTGGTTTAGGAAGGTCTCTCTGAGGAAAAGACACTTGAATAGAGACTAGAAGAAATGGGCAAGTAAACCATGGGAATATCTGACGACAGAACATTCTGGGATGGGTGAGGGAAGTGCAAATTCAAATGCCCCAGGGAGCATGCTTGGAGAGCATTGCAGGAGTTGTAATGAGGGCATAAAACTTTCCAAGTCATGCGAAATTGAGCTGTCTCCAGCATGATACAGTACATGTTGGGGTGGTATTGTCTTCTTACTTT